GTCGTGGGGTATTTTAAATTTATTTTTAATTTTTAAAATTTGCTATAGGGTATGTGCTCCCCAGAGAGACAAAGAGAGGGAAAGTGAGAAATCACGCCCCCCCCCCAATCCCCAGGTATGGCCACCTGCAATCCCTTTCTCCTCCAATCCCCTCTTGGGATCTCAGGTACACGTACATACAAGTGCTAGGTGTGTTTTTCAAGCTGCCAGGTCCAGGACTCAAACCAGCAGTCAGTCATGCGGGATACAGTACTTAACATCCACACCATCTCACTGGCCTGAACTTTGCATAAGAAACACTCTACGAACCAAATACAGTGAAGAAATAGGGCCGTCCCGCGGCAGAGTCGTTCCGGTAGCTGGATCCCGCGTGGCCAACGGCGTGGTTCACGTTCCAGAGCTGGTGGCTCGACAGGGCGGGTGTGTACATGCCCCAAATCCCAAAAGGAGAGAAGACAGAGGAGAAGAGATTTGGGTGTGACCATGCCGCCTGGGGATACTTTTCTCACTTCCCCTCTCTCTGTGTGTCTCTCCAGTGAGTGCACATAACCTCTGGCAACATTTTTGAAAAGAGAGAAAGAAAGGAGGAGAAAGATAGAAAATGCCGTATTGACTTGCGTCTTGCTCAGAGCATTAGTGGGCTCTGGCTGGGGCGCGGCACTCCTGGCTCCCTCCCTCTGGCTCTCACCGTCTCCCACTCCATAGCTCCCAACGGTTTTCTCTAACTCCAGTCCCCCATGGGCCTCGTCCCCAGCCCCATCGCCTTCTGCCCTCTCTTGCTTTTCCCTTCTAAGTGGATCTCGCCTCCCCTATGGGCACTCCTCTCTATGCCACCCCACCCCTGCACCCAGTTGCCCGGATTTGTAGAATAGGCCATGGGGTGTCCTATGCCAGCCCCTCTGTGCTGGCTTCCTGGTAAACCTGGGTCTTTATAAAAGTCTTATTTAAACGTTCCTGCCCTCCCAGCTGTGTTGCTGGGAGTGAAAGGGAGGAGGGGAGCTGTGAGTTTTCAGCTGGCTGGCGTGTAATGGAAGGCGTTACGTGAGAGCAGCCCATGGGGTGGCCGTGCTGCGTGGAGGTCACAGCTAGAGGAAGAGGCCAGGACTGAGAGATGCAGCCTTTCCTATGTGGACAGGAAAGAGGGTGTCTTTTTATGAAGGGGGGCCAGCAGGGTTTCCTGCTGTAAACTCAGGACAAAGGACACTTCATGGCCTCAGGACAATGGGTGGCTCTACAGATGAGTTTCTGATGGTCACTGTAAAAGACCCTGGTGTGAAGATGGGAGGAACCAGAGACACAGCCACTCCAGGAAGCTCCGAAGGAGGGAAGACAGCTGTCGGGCCTGAGGAGACCCCGCCAGAAGACAGGGGGCAGATGGAGACTCAAACAGGCTTTTGAAGATACATCTGGAACAAAAGAGCAATGGAAAGAGCCAGCGTGCCATGTCCCATGCCAGGGGGTGGCAGAGGCCTTGAAGAGCGAGGCTCCAGTGTGTGCCAGCGGGAGCTGAGGCCGGGGAGGGTGCAGCCGGAGTGAGAGTGTGCTGTTGTGGGGAGAGAGAAGACAGCTGATCCTCCCAGAGGGAGCAGATGGAGCCTGCAGTCCCCGGGCTGGTAACTGCAAGGGGACGCCTGGCAGAGGACAGGGGCAGGATGGGCACTCGGAGCAAGGCACGGCTGACCGCCCTTGGCCCCACCTTGGCAGTGAGGCCAGTCAGGGCCACGGAGCAGCAAGGCATGGCGAACTCTCTGTCTAAAGAGGCAGACCCAGCCCTCCACGGAGTCGCTGTTTCTTCTGTCTGTGCCTGGGGGACTTCAGTGGCCTCAAGCAGGGTGATAGGACACAGAGTGAAACCCAGCCACTCCTGGGGAACAGCCGCCCCATTTCCACTCACTTGGCAGCAACGACTTTTCAAGTTTTGCATGTTTCCCTGGACAGTGGGAGGGCCTGGGGGTTATGCTGTTATCTCCCAGGTCGGGCCTCACCAGAGGTAAAAGGCCTCAGCCCCAGGTGTACCATCCCTGTGGACAGTCCACAGGGAAAGCCCCGAGGTCTACGCTGGTCCCTCCCAGCTGGCCCTGTGACCCTGTGACAGTGCCTCCTGGTCGCTGGCTTATGTCCTCAGGTGGCCTTTAGAGGTCTAGTTACCCAGACCAAGCCCCTGGCCCGGCAGCCATGCAGCTGGTAATCAGTTAGCCCTAGGTATCTGTCAGGGGCACCGCCCCCTCTGCAGCCCCTGCTCCTTGGGGAAAATCTTAGCACCAGAGCCCTTGCCCTCCCCTGGCTCACCGCAGGCCTTCCAACCTGCCGGGCCCTTGTGCTGGAGAGAACAGAGCCTGCACATGCCCAGCACTCAGGCCGCTCTGAGCAGCCAGGCATGGATATTCAGTGACCCAGAGCCTGGGTTCCGAGCTCCGGCCTCTGGGACCCTGCACATCCACGGCCTAGCAGCCATTCCCCAGCCCCGTGGTGCAGAACACGGGGACTCAGCTGACTTTGGGGACAAGAAGAGCCAGGCTCTGTAGACATCATTTGTGACGTTTCCTCTGTGTTCAGGCCTTGCAGGCCCTGCCCCCCTCCTCAAGCCCAGCCAGCAGCCAGCTCACCCACTCACGCTTACTCACCTGTTGCACTTTCACACTCCTGTGTCAATGCACACTTACAGATTCACAGCCTCTCCACATGCTCACTCTGCCACCCAGTCACTACGATGTGTGCCCTGGCGCACACGGCTTGCACCATTCATGCACACGCTCTTGTGCACACATGTCTCCTTTCCCGGTGGCCCTCATACACCCCACGCAGATGCCTCCAGCCGTGCAGTACCCGTGTTCCCGCACTCCCACGCACACTCCTGGGTCCAGGACGCGAGCTCCCCTTCCCAGCACCCTGGCCAGAGCCCTGACCTCTTGGCTTCTGTGTTGCAGTGCTCCCAGGAGCCGGAGGACAGCAGCAGTGAGGCCAGCGACCTCCAGCTGGAGGGCCCCGACTCCTTCAGGGTCCTGGACGAGAGCCTCGCCGACCCCCAAGAGGAAGACAGGCCCCTGGTTTTCTTTGACATCAAGATTGACAATGAAAGTGGGTTCTCCTGGGGCCGCCCCACCCCTCTAGCTTAGTCTCAGAGCTCCCAAGAGCAGTTAGGCAGAGCCGTCTGAGGGTCCCTGAGCTCTGGCGGTTGGCGTGTCACGGGTGGTTGGAGTAAGGACACCTGCTTCGACCGGAGCCTGAGCGTGCCTCCATGAGGCCAGCGGTGCTGAGGCCTGGTCCTCGAGGACAGAGAGCCTTGGGAACACATTTCTACTCAGAAACTGGGCGTATGGGCCTACTGCCGCAAGACCTGCCGTCTAAGCATGGCGGGGTCATGCCAAGGCGGCTGCACGGGGACAGCGAGCGAGTCCTTCACCCAGAAGCCCCTCAACTGCCTGTGGTGTAGTGCTGCTCCTACATCCGCCCAGGGGCAGGACTCAACTGCGGGCCTGCCCAGCCAGCCAGGGACAGTGGGTGTTCACCAGGGGCAGGAAGGTCACCTGCAGACCTAAGACACTCTGAGCGGGGTGGACCGGGCAGGGCTCTGCCTGGGCTGGGAGCCTTTGCTAAATGGCTGCTGGGATTTGAGTGGAGCTGTGTGCAGTCTGGAACCTCCGGTGGGTGGGGTGGAAGACAGACAAGAGGGGCCTGGACCCAAAGGGCTTGACAGATGGGCAGAGGGAGGGGCAGCATGGTTCCCCAGCTGGTGAACTGGGAGTGTTTGGAGGGCAGCCCTGTTGGCCTTCTGACCTCTGTCCCATCAGAGCCGGACAGAGCTGCGTTTGCAGGACGAGGTTTGACACCTGCCTACAGGCCCCAGGTGGGGTGTCTAGGTGGGCCTTGGCAGCCCTGGGAGACCCCCTGCTGTTGCCCCACGGAGTCTCACCATGGGGCCCTGGGGTCTCACCCTGCCCTTCTTTCCTGCCCAGCCCAGAAGATTAGCCAGCTGGCAGCCGTGAGCCGGGAAAGCAGGTTCCGGGTGCTCATCCACACCGAGGCCTTCGGCGTCCACTCCAAGGCTGTCTCCCTGGAGACGGGCCTGCAGCACTTCCTCGGCTTCCTAGGTGCCATGCACTGCCCCATCCTGGCCTGCTATAAGCTGTGGGGGCCCGGCCTCCCCAATTTCTTCCAGGCCCTGGAGGACATGAACAGGCTGTGGGAATTCAGGGAGGCCGTCTCCGGCTTCCTGGCTGTCCTGCCCCTCATCCGGGAACGTGTGCCAGGAGCCAGCAGCTTCCAGCTCAAGAGCCTGGCCAAGACCTACCTGGCCAGGAACGTGAGCGAGCGCAGCGCACTGGCCGCCGTGCTGGCCATGCGTGACCTGTGCCGCCTCCTGGAGGTTTCTCCCGGCCCCCAGCTGGCCCTGCACGTCTACCCGGTCACCAGCCTCCAGTGCTTTGCCTCCCTGCAGCCGCTGGTACGGGCGGCCGTTCTGCTGCGGGCCCAGGCCCGCCTCCTAGCCCTGCACAACGTCAGCTTCCGGGAGCTGCTGGCCGCACACCGCCGTGACCCCCAGGGGGGCTTGAAGCGGTACTGCCGCTACCTGAGCCTGCAGACCACCTTGCCATTCCCAGCCCAGCCCGCGATTCCCCTGCAGGCTCTGGGCACCTACTTCGAGGGCCTGTCTGAGAGGCTGGCCTTGGCACGGGCAGAAGGCTCCTCTGTCCCGCCCGCTGCCCACAGCTCGGCAGAGGAGGCCTCCCAGCAGAGCTGAGAGGGTGACTGGCCAGGGGTCTCTGGCTGGCAGAGAGGAATGGGCTCCCTGAGCCAAGCCCCACCCTTTGCAGCATTCCCAGGTTCTGATCTCTGTACTCAGCTGTCATTTAGTCTAGAATCAATTCTTCTTTCTGGGACCAAATTGCCCTTCTCTAAAATTCCTACTGAGAAGGCTGGGGACCCACCCCAGGGGCGCCCAGCCCAGGGAGGTGCTGGGTGAAGAGGTATAGCCTCCAGCCAGCTAAGGACCCCATCTTACAGTAGCCACCCCATCTGCCACTATCACAAACCTCCTCCCCTATCCCTAGCCACTGCCCAGGGGACCTGCTGACAGCTGCACCTGCAGCTCCCTGGACGCCCAAAGTGCCTTTTGAACCAAACTGCCCTGGCAGTTTGGCCCGCCCAGCCTCTGCCTGCCTGAGGCCAGCTCTGTGCCCTTCCCTTCAGGGCCGTTTTACCGCATGGGGTCTCAGCAGCAGGGATGGAAGCTGCTGCTGCTCCATGTGTGTCCCTGTTTTCGAGGTCCGTCCCCTCCAAGCTCGCGTGTTCCCTCCCAGCCGCACAAATGCCTCCTGTTCATCACAGCTTTACTCTCCAGCCCTCAGGCCACCAGACCCTTCTCTGCATGGCCCTCGTTCTTCCTGCCCCACTCCTGCCCTCAGCATGCCCCAGGAGTCTTCCAGAATGTGCTTGTGCTCCACTGCTTGAGGGGTAGCCCAGGAACCTCCACTGACCCCCTGAGGTGGCATTCCCTGGGGAGCCTCTTAGAAATGCAGACCCATGGGGCCAGCAGGTGGTGTGGGGGTTGAGAAGCTGGATTCCCACATGCCCGACTATGGTTCAAGTCCCAGACCTGGTGGCTTGCTTTCTCACTTTTTTCTTTCTGTCTCTCTCTCTCTGGTGGGTGTGTGCGCACTGTAGCAAATTAAAATAATATGAAGAATGATAAATAAAATTAAATATTTTCTTTTAAAAAAGAAACACAGACCTGTGGGCCCTCCCTCTGACCAATGCGTCACACTCAGGGTGGGGCCAGCATCTGCATTGGAACAGGCTCTCCGATGATTCTGACGTGTGCTTCCAGCAGGCTGCTCCCGGAGCAGCAGCGTGAACAGCAGCAAACGTCCTGTCCTATCTCCAGTGGCGTGTGTTGAGTGGCCTAGAAAAAGGCTCTTCCAGGGCCTCAGGGCCCTCATCTGTAAAATGGGCTGACGGCCTGGAAGGCCCCTGAGCTCCCTCAGCTGCCCCATCCTTGGTGGTTATTCACGACCAAGATGACAGTGTCACTGCTTTATAAATATAGGAAAATTACCAGACACCCGATCTTAACCAAAAGTACATGGGCTTGTCTTCAGGGGAATAAAGAACGAGACCTGGGACCCAGCAGACAACTGGGGGGGTCTTGGGGTGAGAGTTCTCTTGCAACGAAGAGAACTCCTAGGCGTGAGCGTGGTGCAGCAAACATCAGGCCAGAGAGGTCAATACCTCCCTTATAGACCAGCCCAGCAAAGGGGAGCTCAGCTAGGGCCGCTCCCACACTCGGCCAGCAGAGGGCGCCACAGCCCCGCCAGGCTCAACCTAGGTGGCTGCTTGGTGGCAATGTGGGTGGGGACTAACAGTGGAGCTCAGTGCTGGGATGGCATGCTTCTGGCAGTGGCCCAGAGTCCTTAGGTAGGTCGTACTCGGAGAAAGAGTTTTTACATGTTAAACATTTCATGTTTATTTTAACAACCTATCAACGCCAGGATTTCTGGTTGCTTAAAATAATGCTAATGAGGTGTGGGAGGCTGCACACCAGCGAGTCTGCCGAGGCCATTTTCATGAGTCTCTCACTATTGCCGTCTTAGGCTCAGAGAGCAAACAATTACACAACGCCAAAGGCCATGATTGGCTCCCCTTCAAAACCTCACCACTGGGAACCAGCAGTTAGCGTAATGGCTATGTCGCTGGACCCCCACGTAGTCGACCGCAGTTCGCGTCCCGGACCCAGTGGCTTAGAACTCACGCCAGGCACATGTGCGTGCGTGCCCAAGATCCTGAGAGGAAAATGAAGGAGAAGGGATTGCGGCATGACCATCCCCCCTGGGGGGTGATTTCTTGCTTTCTGTCTCTCTGTCTCTCTCTGTCTGGTGAGCGCACGCGCCCTATAGTGAAAACCTCTAAAAAAAAAAAAAAAAAACTCACCATCAAAACCATACTCTGATTGGTCACTTCCCATAGCAAATCAGTGAGCTTAGAATCCTTCAGATTTGCATATCTGGCACCTCATGATTGGTCCACAAAGCAACCAATCATAACCCACCTTTTACAATCCATTCAACCAATCACTGCCCACCAACATGTATATAACCACATCCCTGGCCCACAATCGCCAGATGACGCTGAAGACCCTGAAGAGTTGTAACACCGCGTTGTCTCCAGACGGCCCTGAAGAGTTGTAACACTGTCGTCTCCATGCTGCAATAACACAATAAACAGACACAATAAACAGACGACCCTGAAGAGTTGTAACACTGCGCCACACCGCGTGTCTCCAGACGGCCCCGAAGAGTTGTGACACCACGTCGTCTCCTCACGGCCCTGAAGAGTTGTGACACCGCGTCGTCTCCTGACGACCCTGAAGAGCTGTGACACTGTGTCGTCTCCATGCTGCCCACAATAAACAGACGGCCCTGAAGAGTTGTGACACCGCATCGTCTCCTGACGACCCTGAAGAGACCCTGAAGAGTTGTGACACCGCGTCGTCTCCGGACAACCCTGAAGAATTGTGACACCGCGTCGTCTCCTGACGACCCTGAAGAGTTGTAACACCGCGTCGTCTCCTGACAACCCTGAAGAGACCCTGAAGAGTTATGACATCACGTTGTCTCCTGACAACCCTGAAGAGACCCTGAAGAGTTGTGACACCGCGTTGTCTCCGCGCTGCCCACAATAAACAGACGACCCTGAAGAGTTGTAGCACTGCGCTGTTCGTCCGTCTCTCACTCCTTCCCTCAGGAAACCTGTTCAACTGTCCTGCGGGTGGTCGGGACAATGAGGGGTTCTTGAAAGATCCACTGAGGATGTTCAGTGGCTCTCAGCCCTGAAAGGACATAGCTGTGGCAAAACCGGTGGCCAGGAAAGGGAGTGCTCGAATTTAGGGAGACTGCTGACAGCGGAATTAGAGCAGGGTGGGGGTGCAGTCAGAACTGTGTGACACTGAGGTTGGGATCCAGGGGAAAGGTTAGGGCTAAAGCTAAGGGAGCCCTAAGGTTAGGGTTTGGAATTGGATCAGATTTAGGGTTGCGCTTGGCAGTTAAGACTAGGAAGGGAGTTAGAATTGATCCAAGCTGGGAGTTCAGTTAGAAATGGAGGTAGAGCCGCCCTTTGGGCTCTGGGATGTCAGCAACTGAAAAGCCTACGGACCTCTGACAGGAGGCAGGAGCTTCAGAGTAAGATCCCCAATTCGCACTGCAAGGATGGTCTGGTACCCACCCCAAAGTCCTCTTCTAGAAGCTTCCAGTGGGGCCAGTGTGCACCAGTCAGACCAGAGAGACCAAGGAATGGGCTTGGAGGTCCTTGCAGGGAGAGCCCCAGGACAAGCCAGGAATAACACGTTGGAGAGATGCTTACCTAATAGTCAGTCTTCCCGGCCACCACCTGCGGTCGCCTCGTCATCCTGCAGATGGACAAAGGGGAGCGGCAAGGCTGAGTCACCTGTCGGGGACATTAAACTTGCATGTGCGAGCTGGGATTTGCCTGCAGGAGACTGTGTCTAGACTGACACCATCTGTGGCCCACACTACGGGGTGCGTGGTTCTATGTCAGGGGGTAGTGGAGCTCCTGGTCACTCTCTTATACCCTCCTGGCCTGTCAGTGTCGGGTGATGTGGAAGGCAGGTCCCTGAAAGCTACCCCCCAATCCTCTGGTCCCCATGTTCGAACTTATCCTAATTCTAGCTTTTTCCTCCAGGGCGATGTTGCTCAACTGCCTCCCCATTTTTACTCCCTATAAGGAGCAAAATTTTAATGTCACAGAGCACAGTAGATTCCTTGGATTTTTCTAGATATAGGGTCCTGTCTTAGGGCTGGCCCCACGGGGCAGTGCTTAAGTGCTCTGCAGCAAACCTGGATCCCACAGACAGCTGTGGTTTGAATCTTGGCCTCTGCAGCTTGAAAACCATGCTGGGTGCATGTGTGCCCCCAGTCCTGAGGGATGAAGAAGCAGGATTAAGGTTGCAGTGTGACCACGCCCCACCGGGAATAGTTTCTCTCTTCCCGCTCTCTCTGGTGAGCACACGCAATTCAGAAATATCACCTGCAAACAGAGCTCGCTTCAGGTCTCCTTACACAGTTACACTCCTGAGGGCATTGAAGAGCTAAGGTGGTCAGCCACCCCCTCCCGTGGGGCCTTATTACCCCTGTCCAGAAGGCATGATTTAGGGCGCTCCCTCCCCAGTTAAGTGCAACAAGCGGAGGTCAAGAGGGGTACTAACCCTCCATGTGGGTGGGAACAAGTGGGGCTAGGTTGGAGGAGAAGGGGAGGGCGTCAGCTGGGGTCTCTGAGGTCAGGGCCCCTGTAGGCCTAGGTGGGCAGGGCCTAGGGCTGGGAGGGGCAACATTATCATTATGGTGGTCTCCAGTTCCTGGGTAAACCCTTTGGACCTGAATAAAGCTGAAGCCCACGGAGACTGTTGAGAGAAGGATCTAGAATTTTGACTGATTCCCCCCATACTAAAACAAAACCAAAAACAACAGGAAACAAAACAAAACAAAACAAAATCCCACTAAGTTCAGAAGTCTATCCAGCCTTTCAAAATACATTTGCTGTCAAGTGAGGAGAAAATTCCTTCATTCTTGGCTCAGGGAACTTCCTTCAACTCAACTCAAAGGAATTCTCTAAAAGACCAGCTGCCTGGACTATGCTAAAGTCAGTTTATAAATATTATAAATATCCTACACTGATGGCCAAGAAGATTTCAAAAGCTAGCTAGCTAACCACAGGCATTTTCCAAACAGCCAGCCAGGCCGACAGGGTGATAAGGAGGTATGGTGAAACCCGCTGTCTGTCGCCTGGCTGCACCCACTGCAGAGGGCCTGGGGGGCACTGGACGGAGGCCGCTCCCTGCCGTGCTCCCTGGGCGGTCAGCCCCGTGGCCCGGGGGGCAGCCCATTCCACTATAAAGCTCACCAACCAAGGAGGAGGCAGGGGCTGGGCCAGGCGGGACCCCCAGAGGAGCCCCGGCAGAGCTGGCTTGAGACCAGGGCATGGTGTGTGTGTGGCGGTTCAAACATGAGCTTTGGGGAGGCCCGGGTTCACATCCCTCCCTGCCATGTGACCTCGGCAAACGCTTAGCCTCTGTGACCCACACGCAGATTGGATGTGACAACACACTGCACAGCTGAGAGGATGAAATGGCAAGTCGGCAACACCATGGAAAGTGACTGCAGCCAGCACCCTGGAGCGGGGGCATCGGGTGGGCTCCTAGAACACACCCGAATGCAGTCTGCTTCCTCCCCTCCGCCCCTCCCTCTGCATGTCCCCTCTCTTTCCCCCTTCTTTCCCTTCCCTTCTGTCTCCTCCTCTCCTGGTTCTAGTCCATCGAGGATCAAGCAGACTCCGTGCCCAGCGACTCCTGGCGCCCCGTCCTTCTCCCCAAGCCTCCCTGACTGTCTCCTCTACCCTGGTGGGGTGACCCTGCTGCAAGCTGGAGGGATTTATAGCATAGAAGCCACTCTCCTCCTCACCCCCACCTGGCTGCCAGACAGCCATCTGCACCAAGGTCACTTTTCTCAGCACACAGAGATGTGGGTTGGGCAGAAGGGACCCTGGGAGAGAAAATAAATACATCAAGTCTCCAAGCTGGGTCTGGAGATAAGGACAACAGGAGAGGAC